GAGATCTAATATCTTATTGCGTAGTTACACTAGATTAATTTTTTGGATTAATGAACTATTCAAGGTAGATCCGCATGGCATAACTCAGCCGAGGTTCCCCAAAGCCAAACTCGCTATAGTATACTATATTTTATTACTTTAAAACAGGCACTTAGCTATCTTTCCTTCATTTACGACTGCAATACGTGTCATCACCATGGCACAGAGAAATTAAGGATTCTAGCAAACGAGAGGACTCAACATTTTTTCCGAAGCAGTCATCGCCATGGTTATGAAGCATGGTTTGGTGTAAAGAAATAGCCTTGAAGTGCCTATTTTAAAGTAGCAAAGTATAAGACTAGAAAAGTGACTGTGAAAATGATTGCTATACTTACGGTAAATGTTAAGAAGATATGATTTACGTTTTCGTGCTTTTTTACCTTTCTCGATGCAAGCATTTATTCTTACATCTTGCCAAGCTCTACACTAACATTTTTGGCTCTCAAAACGATCTATCTAGTTGGTTCTCCGTGCAGATAAGCAAATTAACAACTAAAACCGAAATATATTTTTATTTAGTTTAGTTATTACTTGTGAGAACAATTTAACTGGCGCCACAAGAGGCTTAAAGGCAGCGAGGTAAGTCGACTGCCCGTGGCGCCAAATGCAACAGGGGCGCCTCAACGAATAATCAATAATTTTTTTTTACAACACCGAAAAGTAACTTTTGCGAATTTTTTTTTTTCTTTTTGTTTTACAGGGAAGACGCCGAAAAAAATTTCATCCAAGGTGCCAAAAGTACTGTACGGCAGGCCTTGGCTGGTGCTTTCCAAAATTCGGCTTCGTAGCCTGCTCCTTATATCGCTTATGCTTGAGCCTGGGTCTGTTCTTGTAACATTTAGTATTTAGTAACATGTAAATGACAACATTTAACATTTAGTGTTTAATAACTTGTGAATGCTACAGTTTGGATGTATTTAAAAACAGTAGATATAAAATGTTAGTACAGAAGTTATGTATAATATTTAATAGTCTCTGCTTATAAATAAATAGTTTAGACACTTAAAATACATCCTTTTAATTTACATCTTTTACCTTGATTCATAAATTGATTTGCATTTTTAAATTTATGACAGATTTTTCCACATGCAAGATACTTTCCATATTTACGGAATACTCCACATCTAGAACAAAGTTTGGTGGCTTGGTATTTAACTCTTCATATATATTCTTATTATGTTTACTTATTTATTTTTATTTTATTTTGTTTATTTTATTTTATTTATTATTATTATTATTATTGCATTATATTTACAAAAGTATCTTCGGCTTTTATTATTTCTGTTTGATGTTCATTTCTTTCTCTTTTTACTATTATAGATTTGTTTCTCAAGAAAACATCCATACACTTCATATATGATTGGCAAAGCTCATAACCATTATCAGTATTAATTAGTATCAGTGGCGTAGTTAGTGTTTTTGCCACCGGGCAGTTCCTGCATTTGTCACCTAGAGGAGTCTCTAAATTTGCCGTCCCTCTTGATACACGTTAAAATAACTACAAAACTGACATATAGGGAAAAAATTAAAACTAATTCGTCTATTTTTGAAGAAAAATATTAATTCCTGCAGTTTAAAATTACGTTATTATTGTTTTTTTTTCACAAAACCAACAGTGCAGTAGTGCCTTCATTGCTCCAGTTGCTGTTATGCATACAGTATAGAAAAATTTTCGGAATGCAAAATAAACATCTGTAGATCGCAAATTTCTTAAACGATTTTTTAGAAAACTCTTCTCACAAGTAGTAATACATACAGTAATTCTGAGGATTGTTCGCAGTAGTATTATAGTACCTAGCTCTGGAGACAGTATGTGAGAATACACTGCAAAAAATTAAAAGAATGCCCTTCCTCGTTTCTGTTTCCCCTAGCAATAACGGGAATAAAATTCTGAAATGCTTCTGCCTTAACGAAGAATTCTTCCTTATTCAAGTCACCTTGTTAATAATTTAGTTGATATTTGTAAATTTTCATTCAAGTTTCGACAGAATAAAAAAGATACGACAAGAGTTTGTAGCTGCTGAAATCTCGTGATGATTTTGTTTAATACTCCACCTGCCGCAAGCCAGCAAATGCGGTAGACAGATACGACTAATCTCTATAAACTGTTGTTTCGGGCGAAAATGCCGCCCCCCAAAATGTGCCGCCCGGGACGGCCTGCTCCGCTCTAGCTACGTCCCTCATTAGTATATCGTGAAAATTATATAACAGTAAAGAACAAAAACCGTTCAGGAGAATTCAAATTTCAGTTAAACTGTTTTTCGTACGATTTTTGACAAAATGGAAAACTGTTTAAATGAACTTAATTAGTTTTATAAGTGATCGATCTAGGAAGTGGTGAAGCTAATACTGCAAATTTTTCTTTGTGTAAAAATAGCTTATTTAAGTAAAAACAGCTTATTATGAATTTCCCAGTAAAATATCATTCACCATGTACAGTTTCCGTTACATAACTAATTCGATAAAATGTACACTTCCAAATTGGTATACAGTGTCTCAAAAAAGTGATGGGACACTTGTGCTTTACAAAAGGAAACTGTAATAAAATTAATTAAAAAAAACATGTAAAAATTTTTTGTGGGTGTGTTTTATACTTAAATTTAGTAACAATTATTACATAACATTTTCTCAAAATATTAAAATATTAATTTAATAAAAATATAATTGTTTAAAACGGAGCAAAAAATGGCTCACATAAGTGATGGGACACCATTAGATACTACTACGTACTACAATAAAAATATTTTTTGGGGTTTTTATTTTTACTCAAAAGCAATTGGCAATAATTTATAAAATCGTCTGCAGTATTTCTCTCCAGTTTGTTTTGGAATTTTTGTGTTTTTTAGCTCTGTGCAGCCATGAATGCTAAACGAAAAGAAACTTTGCCTGAAATTCGAAAATTAGTTATTAATTTGCATATTAGAGAAAAATCTATTAGAGAAACTCCTGAAACAGTTAACTTGAGTCATTCAACAGTTTACAATATCATTAAACAATATAAAAATAATCATATGATTCAGGATAAAAGAAGACCTGGCCGACCATCAAAGCTATCCAATGGAATAAAGTGAATTATCGTTCGAAATATTAAAAAAAATCCAAGAATGAGTGCTCCTAAAGTTGCTGCTGATTTACAAGCATTATATGGAGTAATTGTTAAACCTGAGACTATTAGAAGAGTAATTCGATCTGCTGGATATCACGGTAGAGCAGCCAGGAAAAAATTCTTCGTAAGTGAAAAGAATAGAAAACTCAGACTGGCTTTAACAAAATCCAACATAAATAAGAATTCTGATTACTGGAACGAAGTTATATTTTCCTGATGAGAGTAAATTTAATATATTTGGTTCTGACGGTAGAATCTTGGTGTAAACCCAGGAAAACCCAGGGAAAGAATTTCGAAAACAGAACTTGGTGCCAACAGTAAAACATGGTGGAGGAGGAGTTATTGGTATGGGGGTGTATGTCGTCCGCTGGAGTTGGTAATCTTTATTGACAGTTTTTATTGACATTTTTTATGATTTAATGATTTATTTGTTTTATTGACAGTCTAATGAATCAGGACAAGTATATTGACATTTTAAATCAAAATTTGAAATCTTCAGCGCGAAAATTGAACCCTTCATAACGATTTTAAATTCTACCAGGACAATGACCCCACGCACACTGCTTTGAACATTAGACTCTGGCTGCTGTATAACTGTTCTGAAGTAATAAAAACACCACCACAATCTCCAGACTTAAATCTCATAGAGAATATTTGGCAAGAATTGGAATCAAGAATTCGCAAACACACCATTTCTTCAAAACAACAATTAAAATCGGTGCTTCAAGACGAATGGGGTAAAATCACTCCAGAAATCACAAAAAAAAAAAAAAAAAAATTAATCGAATCCATCCCAAGAAGATTAAATCATGTTTTAAAAGTAAAAGGAAATCCAACAAAATATTAAAACCTTTTAAAAAGTAAACTTTTTGGATAAATATTTGATGGAAAAGTAAGTGTCCCATCACTTATGTGAGCCATTTTTTGCTCCGTTCTAAACAATTGTATTTTATTAAATTAATATTTTAATATTTTGAGAAAATCTATGTTATGTAATAATTGTTACTAAATTTAAGTATGAAACACACCCACAAAAAATTTTTACATGTTTTTTTAATTTATTTTATTACAGTTTCCTTTTGTAAAGCACAAGTGTCCCGTTACTTATTTGAGACACTGTACATTAGAAATTTTCAATGAAAAGAATTTTCTTTATTAAAACACTGATTTGTCGTTAAAATCATTTTCATAAAATACTCTATCGTAAATTTCGTCATAATCATCAGTATTAAACTGGCTTCAGTATGAAGTTTGGCTACCAAGCGGCGCCAAATTTAATCTTATTTATGCTTGCATATTACTTACTATCGCTGGCAAAGAATAATCAAACTTACAATAAGCTATTTTAAATTATCTATATTTAACATCGTAGAATTAATAAACCAATTTGACACCATTATTGGCGAAACAGGCATGCAAATTATTACGTATTTCTAGATTAAATTCTAATTAAGAAAGACCGCAAAGGAATAAAAGAAACGATTTGTTAAGATTAAGATCTTATATGTTTTATCGCACGGGAAATGGCGTGCATTAATATTACTTTATGAAATTTCATGTGTATAAATAGAGCCATTTGTTTCACCCAGCACTGCACTGCTTAATGAATGACAAGGCGGATGCTTTAACGCGCCCACTTAAATCCAACGGAAAAGAAGTACCATGACAGATGCCGAAGAGAAAGAAAGATACACGCGATATATTTATCCATGACGTCATTCGCATATTGCTTGTCCCAGACTGTAGTGGGTGAGACTTTGGGTGAGACCTGAAGCCTAAAAGTAAAGTTACCGAACCTGAGGATACGTTTGGCGACTTTTTTGCAAAATATTTCGAAAACCTTGTTCATATGTCGCCAAATGAGCATAAACCGAAACTGTGTGAGTGCTCTTTAGGGTGTCGGCAAAGAAATAGCACCTATCGCATTCGCTGTTGTAAATTTAGCTAGAATTATAACCAAAAAAATTATTTTTCATTTGATACTTAATTTTTAGAATTCTATGAAATTTTCGAAGTGATTTGCGATTGAATTTCGGTATTATTTCTCCAATTAAATGGCGAAACTTCAACCCGTTTGTTTCGAGTAATCTCATTGGTCGAGATAGCTCTACTTTCCGGTTTTCGTTAGCTCGCCGGTTTGCGCACCAACGTTCGGCGCGGTAGATGTGTTTTGCGCTCAGCTGTTGAGGTATACGTTTGTGGAATATCTGTAACTGAACTGTGATTTTTTCCTATTATGGCAACTAAAATGAGTCGTCGAACTGTGAACATAACTACAACTCATCAAGCTCGTAGCCCTAGTCCTCACGTCACTACAAGTTCAGGAGAACATCACAGGTCGAATTTGAGCCCCACTCGTTTAACTAGGATTCAGGAAAAGGTCGAATTGCAAAATTTAAATGACCGGCTTGCGACATACATCGATACTGTGCGTAGTTTGGAGCAAGAAAATAGTCGCTTAAATTCGCTTGTTCGTACTACCCAAGAAACTACCACCCGGGAGATAACGAACGTCAAAAATGTTTACGAAAAGGAGTTGGCTGACGTGCGTAAAGTTTTGGATGAGACTGCCAAAGAAAAAGCAAAATTACAACTGTCTGTGGATAAGTGGAGAACTGATGCGGAAGATTTACGAATTAGGTAAGTTTGCTGATATTTTTTAAAATATGTTCTGCTCTTGGCAACCACAGGTACATTGTGTCATTTCTATTTTTGATTCAAACAAGAAATAATTGACTATATTTATATGATCTTTGCTCCAGTTATAATTTATTTGCATTTAGTTTGAGCTTAGTTATATGTAATGTGATGAAATTTACGTTAACATGAAAATTAGAGTAAAATGTATTATTAACTAGGATTCCATCATAAGTGGGCTTAATATGAGACTCAAGTTTTTACCCTTATCGTATTAAACATCTAAATTTGAGAGGCAGCTATATTTTTTACCTTTTTTATATGCTTTCTTTATAATGCATGGGTATAGATTTATAAGCAGGTAATAGTAATTGTGTATTAAGAGTAACATCATAGTAGCTCCTCAGTTAAATCGAACCTACTGTTCAAATGTTGAATGATGAATTAATATTAATTTTTTAAATAAATCACATTTTTAATGATTTGAAACATTATCTTTTTGCTCTCCTTGTTATTGCTGTAATGTCTATGATGAGCCTATTCAGATAGTGCCATGGTTGAAGATGACAGCTTTGGCAGTCTGTAAAATGTTATCATCCTAGAGGTTCAATCTCTTAAACAAGATTCTCTGTTTTTAACAATTCTGCAATTTTTTAAGCAATTAAATTTATCATTTTTTTGAAGATTATATGTTGTCTGTCATAAATTTAGAAATAAATCATTATAAATTAGATTTTCATCAGTTTTTAATAAAAATAATTTTTATTTTATGAAAAACGAGAGGTAATACCACGGTTTCATACTATTAATGTATTAAATCTACAGATGTAATATTAGAAAAAAAGCTGTGAGTTATGTTGTTCTTCTGATTTTTCTTCCCCATCACGTCTCTTTATTTTTTTCCCTTGTGATATAATCAGCTGATGCTCCTAAGGTTTTTTTCCAAAAATAATAATAATAAGTAGGTACATATTAACTTTTAGTGGAAAACTTTCTTTAACTATATGCTGTTTATCAGTGTAGATATTTATTAGTATAGATATTATAGGTAAGTCTTCAGTTACATCAGCAGTTATCTTAAGGCATGTTTAAAAAAGATACTCGGGTGTTGAGAACAATATTTGTTGATATTGCCAAAAGATGACATTACTGGTCCATTTATTGATATTCCCAAAATTTATTGATATTGCCATATTTGTTGATATCGCCAAAAGATGGCAGTACAAGTCCGTCTATTTGATTTACTTAGCTTTTTCCTGTCTGGACATGTGACTATGTAAAAAATTCTTTGTTTCAGTCTTGTAGTTCAGTCTTCTTTGTTTTAGAATTCAAACTGCATTGTGCAGTATATTGGAATATTAGAAATATTTGATAGAACTATTATGTTCATGCCTTTTAAGCTTTGTAATAAGGTTTAAGCTTTTAATGTATGTTATATATATGTACTATGTAATTGTTTAAGTTTTAATTAAAAGTTGGAAAAAAAAAAAAAAAGAAACATTCCTTGCCATGCAACTAATTCTTTGATTCTTGTTTTATTTCAATTTTGATCGATTTTGCAACATAGTCATTCAGACATAGCTCAGATAATAGAATAATTTAAGGAATGGAAAGGTTGCATACTTACAGAGCATGTCAGTATTCGAAGTAATCTATAATCAGGGCTTAATTTCTAAAATTAGAAATGCTGGAACACTATGGAAGGTCATCAACAAATACTAACAAAGGTAAAATAAAGTTAATAATTAAAATAATTAAAAGTAACATTCAGGAAAATGTAGAACTAAATTGAAATTAATACAAATTAAGTTAATAATAAATAGTAGTTATATAATAAAAAGGGAACAGACCTTATCGTATTTGGGGCTGTTAGTGAAATTACTATTTTACTAAAAAACTAAGAAACAGCAGAGCTGGTCTCTTCCTGCATTTAAAGCTCCGGATATGCTGTTTCATAAGATGCAGCAAACCAATTAAAAAAGGTACAAGGATAATAAAGCATTGCTAATGATAATATACATAATGCTAGAAATAATGTGAGAGTATTAAAGAAAATTTCAGTGGATAATTGTAAATAAGAAAACAGAGAGAAGAGTCCAACACGATCATGATTCTCTGCTGATATAAATCTAGCTATTAGCAGAATGTGATGCGAAAAAAAAAAATTTCCTCCAAATTCAAGGATTTATCCTTTCACCCCTTCCCAGTATTTGGTTGCATCATATTGAAAAGTCTGTAGCTACTATTAGAAAGTACATTAAACCCATTCAATTTGTAGCACATTTAGGAACATAAACAAAGGTTCTTCCCTGTTACATTCTAATTTGCAAATAACTGAAACTGTTAATACCGAATCAGCAGATAAGATGGCACAACTAAGGTAATTACTTCAAGTACTTTAAAAAATGCCGCCCAACCGGTATAGTGGTTAGCATCGCTGACTGCCTTGCCGTAGGGCCCTGGTTCGAATCCTGGAGAAGGCATGAATGTTTGTGAATGTATAGTGTCAGTACAGCATGGTGGCAGTAATCTAGCACTTCTTGCCACGAGGAATTTCGTGGACTTGGGCTGATTACACGAGACAAGTGAGCATAAGCAGCAGTAACAACAACTTTAAAGAATAAAAAATTTATCTATTATCAAACAAGCTAACGTAAATTTATTGTACTTCCCAGAGAATGAGTTTTCACATATGGATGGGGTTTTTCTTTCCTTAAAAGTCTCAACATCCATACAAGGAGTTATTTCTGAAGGAAAGACAGGTACACATTCAAAAGTTAGAATTTATTTTTAAGACATAATTATTGTTATTTTGGTTGATCTTTACATTATGGTAACTTGGCGTTTTTTTGACGAAAATTTGGTGACCAACTCTCCTACAGCAACACTCTATTTTTTTTTCTAACCGCCATTTTGTCTTCACGAAGTAAAGACATGTTTCTTTTCTTTTTATCTCCTGAACACTTCTTCCAACAATCTACTAGTCGAATTACACTTATGCTAGAAATTTTATCAAACAAAACTGCTTAATCATGACAAATATTCACTGCAAAATTAGGAAAAACTGCACAATACCATCCTCCTTACGCAGTTTTTCAAAATAACACATACACATAAACCATGTACAACGCCGACTTATTTTTACTTAAAAAACATCGCAGAATTGCACAAAAATGACATTGCGCACACTCTTCACTATATCCATGTACACTGCTTTTTTCTCATAAATTACAAAAAATTTCACGAAAATATACATGACAATTTTCTCAATCTTTAAACCCGGTAAAAAGAACATATATGAAATTACCTGATCGCGAAAAAGTATTTACCCTTTGCAAATATGAACATTTCCACATATAAAATAGTAAAATATCCAAAACTTATACCTCTAAATCTATTACATTATACACGTCACCAACGAATTCATACCGCAAGCATTACAAATACTTAGTATCAATATTTAAAATTATTTCCATGCACGTTTATTTCAACTTAAACGTATACCAAATTCCTACAAGCATAAAATTCACAAAATAACTATCATTTCATTAAAATCTCTAAACCATGTACACTCGACTTATTTTTACTTAAAAAAACATCCCAGAATTGCACAAAAATGGCATTGCGCACACTCTTCACTATATCCATGTACACTGCTTTTTTTCTCATAAATTAAAAAATTTCACGAAAATACATGACAATTTTCTCAATCTTTAAACCCGGTAAAAGAACATATATGAAATTACATGATCGCGAAAAGTATTTACCCTTTACAAATATCAACATTTCCACATATAAAATAAATAGAATATCCAAAAACTTTTACCTCTAAATGATCTATTACATTATACACGTCACCAACGAATTCATACCTCAAGCATTACAAATACTTATATCAAATATTTAAATTATTTCCATGCACGTTTATTTCAACTTAAACGTATACCAAATTCCTACAAACATAAAATTCACAAAATAACTATCATTTCATTAAAATATAATTAAATTCAAAAACACTACTTAAAATATAAATGAGCACATACATTAAATTAATAAAATTACCTTACAATCCTAATTACTTTAAACTAAATCATTGCTAATAACAATTTGCCAATAATACCAAATTCCTTTCCACCTTACATTTACAACAATGCATAAAAATAATATCCTCAAATAATTAAAAATACTAACTTACCTAATCTTCTTCAGAATCTTGATTACGTGGCGGATACACTTTTCTTCCGTCTGTTTCAGAATCTTTAAAATCATACTTATCTTTCAAAGCAAGATACCAGGTAAAATAAATAACATAATAAAACATCTTTATTTCTCTCTCGCACAACCTTAAAAAACATTTATTACTATCCTTTTCAATACCACTAAATATCCATTTCGAATTCACTTTAGTTACGGCCATGGGATCCAAAAATTCACAAACACTATTTCACACAACACAGAATAAAGCCAATTACAAAATTGCCAGATTTTTTCCCGATTAAAGAACAGTAATTCGTCCATTATTAATGGCGTATCACATGACGTATCCCATGATCTCTCATTTCCCTCACACAAAATAATGCGTAATCAGAACTGAATACTACTCACATTCTTAACAAAGTCTAACTAACCTAATCTTCTTCCGAATCATCCTTACATGGTGGATACACTTTTATTATGGATTCAATAAAATTACTGAACAATTTTTTTTTTCCGAATTTGATAGAATTTGATAAAAAAAAAATTCTCTTTATCACATCTACAATTCACTTTAGACAGCGCCATGCAATCCAAAAATTAATCAACCCTACTTCACAACACACAATGAAGCTTAATACTGCAGCTATAGTACATCCACAGATACTTTTTCCAAATTCCCCCCCTTTTCCGATTAAAGAACCGTAATTTATTTGTCCATTAATGTCACATGACCATATCTCATGATCTCTCATTTCCCCTCACACAAAATAATGCGTAATCGGAACTGAGTACTGCTCACATTATTA